ACAAGGCGACTCAGCCTTGCAACTACAGCTTGTACGTCCACCTTCGCTACACTGTCGACCATGTGCTAATTCATTATTTCCAGCCCTTACACCGACCCCAAGTCTTTCGCGGGCCTGAGCCAGGCCATCGAGGGTGTCGGTGTCTCCGCTTATATCGGCGCCGCCCAGTTCATCACCGACAAGAAGTACTTGACCGCGGCAGCGAGCGTCCTCGCCACCGAGGCACGGCACGCGAGCTGGGTCGCCTCGGCGGTGAACAAGTACGCCGGATGGAGTGGGGCCCTCGATGTACGTCTTCTTCTTCTCATCCAATAAGTATTCGTTTCTCACCACATCTTACCCAGGTCCCCCTCGGCCTCAACCAAGTCTACTCCATCGCCGCGGCTTTCATCACCGACTGCCCCTCCACCAACCCCGCGCTCCCAGTCATGGCCTTCCCCACCCTCACCATCGCCACCACGCGCTACTCCCCCGGCAAGGAGATTGACCTCAAGTACACACCCGCCACGGCTCCCGCCGCCGGCACGCCGCTCTACGTCGCGTTCTATACCGGCCTCGCCGTCGAGTACGCGCCGCTCAGCGCCGACAACAAGGTCACCATCCCTATGGACCTGAGGGGCCAGGTCTACGCCGTCGTCACCACCAGCAATGGCACCGTCGCGGACGGTAACACCATCGCTGGCCCCGCCATCCTCCTGCTCGAGTTCAACTCGGCTGGGAAGTTGATGCTGTAAAGGACCTGTGTAATGAATGTAGCACGAATAATTTAGCACTTTGATACCCACGGACATTTTGGATCAATCATACCTTGCCATTCATGAACAAACTTCGGTCATGGTTGATGTTCGGCATCCAATGGTACTCGAATCGTCTGGGAAGATGGTTGGATTGAAGTTCACTACTTCGGAAGACTCGAGAGACTGAATTCATCGAAAGGTAGAGCATTTTTTGTAGTGGGGTTGAAAAAGCTTCTGCCTGATGGGGTTCATTGTTCAGAAAATTCAACCGTGAGAATTGGCGACACAGCCACCTCTGGTCGCAGTTCAACAAACGTTACAACTCATTCGCAGCTCTCCCCGTGAACTTGGCTGGATGCTGAAACAAGCCACAGGCTTCCTGGCACGTGTAAATTTTCCGCCGCAAAGATGAAGAGACAGTTTGGAGCGAAAGGACTGCGTCAACTTCTTCGCATAAAGGCAAATTCTGTTTAGAACTGAGACTTTGAGCACGCCTCTCTTTGACCCCGCACCCCTCGTCGTTCTAATTTACTTATGCGTCTATGTACATCTCCGCGATGTTCGAGTTTCTAGAAATATTGCTTGTGTCGAGTTCCCAGCAGCTTTGTAAGAGAAGTAGAGGTGTGATTGCCGCTTGTATGGAGGAGGAATTTTCAGTGTCTGAAATCCAACTGGCTCGTAGTTCGGAACAGCGATACAAATTGGATACAAAGATATAAAGATGATTCACGGGCTTCAAATACAGTTTTGCTTCATACACGGACACAGACGCAGTCTAGATTCACTGGAATCAAAGTCAGAGCATTGCAGCGCAAGAGGGAAAACGGCGGTACATTACAAAGGCTTCCGCGCGTTCAAAGAGTTGCATATCTTGGGGGTTTCCAGCCAGTTTCGTCTGTGTAATTCGCCTGTCGAGCTCAAGTAAGAGAAAAGAAAGACAGAAAAAGAGAGTTGAGCCATTACAGGCTTTCCAGTCGTATTGATTATTTTCTTTCTTCAAAGTCCGCGAGCTGGGGAAAAGACGGTCACACATCAAAGATCTTCACTGCTTTTTGTCTTGTCCTTCCGCGGTACTTCGTCGGTGTTCCTGGGCGTCAGTGGGCGGCGCTAATGAAGCGTCATTATGATGCAGACAACTATAATGCAACGCGACTCACTGAGGCCGGGGAACTATCCGCGTTAATCATGTCGATGGTGAGAAACATGTCATCGACCTGGGTGAGAGGGGTGAGAGTCAAGATCGGAGTTATGTACGAGCGACGCACCTCAATGTCGGATGGGTCCTGTTGGACGCGCAGCAGTTGAACTCACACCGAGGATTGGAGCATATACACAAGGGGCTCACATTATCGTGTACACTATCGGTGCTTGTATTGGGGAAGGGCGTCTCCTTGATAGTTGACAGCTAGGACAAGGACACATCAGAAAACAAAATCTCGCGGTTGAAAAAACCCTCTCACCTCAAAAGCGGGAAGGAGCGGGGATTCATGTTCTTGGGTTCGAAGTATCGCTACATCGCGCTGGATTTGAATTCAGTCAAAAGATTTGATTTTGAGCAAAGAGAGCCCCGTACCGCAATTTCTAGGTGTATCAGCTCCTCCTCCATCGCGCCGACATCCGAGGCTGTGTCGGGCCAGAAACATGCCTAAATTGACTGGTTGAATCACTGGGGAAAGGAGGGTGGTGGCTTGCACATACCAGGGAGGAGAAGTCAAAGTCCTTTTCCGTCTGTTTCCGAGTTAGATCAACTAGTCGCGGACATTAGATACGCGGAGAAGAGACACACAAAGCCGACAGGGGCCAACCGGGGGTCGACCAAGTTTCCTGGGCTCGACGGGGTTGCCTGGCGCCTCTTGTGGTGGAGGGCCCCCGGACGAAGAGGGCTCAGGGCCCACTCGTCGAAGGGAGGAATCTAAGGAGATGTCGAGGGTAAGCAATGTCACGGCGACGGGTAAACAAGAGCGTACGGAGGAGCGCGATGAGGATGATGCCGTGGACATAGACACATCCGCCTGGGTTTCTAGTACCGATTTTAAATTGCGGAGAAATCTTTTGGCTGTCAAGTTATTGGTTATTTGAGCGAACCTCATAGAATGGAAGGGTAGATTACCGGAAATCTCTGATTGCGCCTTTCGCGGGTATCTTTTGGACTTGGAGCTGGTCAAATAATTCAGCATTGTACATGAAGACTGAGCAAGGACTGCAGCGAACATACTTCGTGACTACCGACTCGGTACGCTTGATTAACGGTCCGAGTAATTTGAGGATCCACGCAATAGTGATTTGATCGTCTTGGAAAGCGCGAATCCAATACGCTCCAACAAAAGCATGGAACCCTTCCTTGACGCTGGTGACGCCGTCCATGAGGCGTACATCCATCTTCTCAAACACGGCGCCGAGGACGAGGGGAGAAAGAACGACATCTTCTACAAACTTTACGGAGAGGGTTGGCGAGGTTGGACGAAGACAGTGGTTGGCTCTTCTACGTACCTCGATATAGCTGGGATGCATGTCCAGCAGATCAGGTACAGTTTCGACTACGCCACGGAAAACGGCATGTTTGAGGACACGCTTGCCCTGGGACTAAGCGATTTAATGGAGTCACCGTTGACTGAAGCCACTGAATGTGATACCGCATATACTTCCAGTGGCGTGGAACGAGATTTGCTTTTCTGGTCGACGAGTGGCTCTGATCGGAGTACTGACGTCCAGAACGTGAGGCAAAGGTCAGGAACTTCTGAAGGAACAAAGTCTGGCGAGCGGATGTAGGCGAGCAGCGTGATGATGGTGTTATCGACGAGGACGGTCATGGTGGTGGAAGGAGAAACAGGAAGTTGTGATTATGGAGTGCACCGCCACTTTCCCACATCGTTGATCCGTCGATTTCAGACCAGACCAGAATGCATTTCACGACTGCGACAGCCCCTGGCGGAGGGATTTCTGTTTTCAAGAAGAAGAAAAAAGAACCGCCATGTATGGCTAGCCGTTTGGCTCGGTGAAACTCAGCACTCGCTTGAGATAAAGCCACTGAAGTATGTTTCGTGAACAGACGCGGGGAACGCATCCCTGGGGCCCGTCTCTCATTTGTCACCACCTCCAGGATTCGAACGTGGTATCCCACAAGGTCGATCCATCGAACCCCGGGCACGTTCTTACCGCTGAACTAATGGCGACGAGTTTGAAAGCGAACAGTGTCGCCTCGAGCTCTCCAGAGTCTGTCCTGCTCGAATTCAGCTGAACTCTTACCCGATATCTCCCTGATAGGTGCAGTTTCTCCGCCAAAAAGTAAAGGTGGGGCGAGCTTTAAGAAGAAAGCGGCACCCACTTCATCGCTTGCCTTCAAGTTCAGAAGTTCAGAGCCGTTTGGCTCGCCGAGAATCAGGTCCGCTGGCTAGACCTCTGCGGGGTATAGTCAATCTCAAGACGGGGGGTTGGCATCCCGAGGCGTGTCTCCCCGGAGGGTTCGAATAACCCAAGTAAGAAAATCCAACCGTGGGAACACTTTTACCAACGCATCTGGGAAACGACCAGTCGCTAGGTAGCGCTCGGCTTACAGCTCCGACTCGCAGACCAGCGCATTGATTAGACCGTCGGCGAATACAGCGTTTTGGATGCTCTGATTACCGGCTGGTTCATGCGTGTTCGACGTGGCTCGCGCAACGGCGTACCTTAAGTTTTAACGAAGCCAGGCGGTTTTCCCGGGAGATTTGGCAAGAGAAGGAGAAAAACAATCTGCTCGATAGTTGAGGATCCAAGCTGCTCGTAAGTCGCCCGCTCGTTTGCCGCCGTCGCGTGTTCCTCCTTGCTCGCCGATTCCGAAAGTTCGTTGAAGCATCGCGGCCACGCCAAAGGATGGACAAACGGCAATGGCCCGGGGGTATAGGCGAGCAACGCGACGACTTCGAGGATAGATTTGGCGACTGACGCGGCGAGAGTTATTGCTTTTGGCATGCTGGCCAGTGGCGAGAGCGAAGGAGAGATTCGTTTGGTCGTGATTAGCGCTCGTGCCGATGTTCACCGCCACCCTCGTCTTCGTCTTCCCCCGCTCCATGGGGAACCAAATGACGTTTGGTCCCGCTTGGCCCGAGAACATGAAGATTCAGAGGAAAATTAATTCTCAACACGTTTGCTTTGAGTTCGAGTCCAAGTCGCCCAAAGAACTTGTATTAAATACTATTATGAGCAATGGTCACAGTCAGGCTGGCAGCCAGCTCGACTGGCCAGAAGAAGAGGCATGGCGAACAGAGGCTTCAAAATCATGTCGCCACCGTAGTCCAGCGGTTGAAACCTGCTTTCCCAGATAAAACGGAAGCAGATGTCGGGGGTTCGATCCTCCCGGTGGCACACAAGGTTCCCGCGACCCGGCCAGTGCTACGGCAGTACTGACCCGCTCGCGCGAGGGATACAATAGGCATTGTTCCTGTGCGATACGGTGTCTCCAATTTATTTTCTTATTTTTTTTCGTGGAGATGTGTAGTTAGTCTATGGCGCGACGTCGTAGTGCCGTCGCTAGAACTATCGCAACTTGATGGAGAGTCATCGAAGGAACAGGAGGCTTGAGGACCTCGCTGAAGTCGTCTCTGTAATCTGTCGAACAGCGTTCCCAGTCCCGGAATGGGTACCGTTCCACTACAATTGCGTTGGACGTAGACTTCACCCGCATCTGGCCTTGGAAGTTGTTAGACAACGCCTGTAAACGGATAAGTCATGCTGTATTATATAGGTGTACAAAGATGGGATACACATGTTCAGTGGTATATACAGCGTGCGTCAGCGGTAGATAGGATATGGAATTACAGGCGGAGGGTTGTCAATTGGGGCAAAGGATCTGCAATTCCAATCAGCACAGCGAGCAACACGACGCTCGAATCACCTACTTCAAAGCTTGCATGTCGACCTGCATCGGGGTAAGTAACGGCTCACTCAATCGAATGAAATGAAATGGGGATGTACTCACGGGCGATTTGAAGGCCATGAAGCAGTGCGAGTCGTTGTGCGTGTCGACGGCCTCGCAAGCGTCGCAGTAATCGACGCAGCAGTACGCGCAGCGGAACCACACGCCCTGGATACCCGACATGCAGCGGTCGCAGAGCGCGGCAGAGTGCTCTAGCGATGATAGGTACGTCCGCGGGTCCATCCCGGGCGGAGGGCCCGCCGGGGACTTGTATCTGAAAGCACGAGGTTAGGACAGAGTGACTGAGTGTTGAGCTGGAGGAAAGGAGGCATACAGTCGTGGGAGGAAGGCGAAGGACGACACCAGCGGCCGCTGGACCGGACGCGGGAACTTGAAGAAGACGTGCCCAGGGTCGTGCAAGGCGTACGATTGCTCCTCGCAGGCAGAACACTGCCCAAGGCGTACTCAGCATCAGGACACGACTGAAAGAAGCAAGCTCACCAAACTGAAGCCCTGCGGCGACGAGGGGCAGTTCGCGCACTGGTACCGCACTCCGACGATATTCTGTAACCGCAAGTAAGCTCTCGTCTCGAAATAAATTGCACAATACGCACGTTGCCGCAGCCGTGACAAAATATATGGTGGTCTTCGTCCGTGCGTGTCCCCGAGCCGATGACCGTCCGCGCATACGAGGATATGACCGAGCTGGCCTTGGACGGCTTCTGCGGCTGGTGCCCGACGCTTGCAGCATCACGGCCCTGCCAAAGGTGTATCGCCCGCCGACTCGCCGTTTGTACCTGGTTCTCCGTTAGCAAGAACAAAACACGGCTAAGAAACATCAGTCACTTCATCCGTCTCGAGCGGGTACGGTATCTGCAGGGAATAAGAGTCAGGTACGTTCACGACGACGGCTCTCAAAGTCAGGGCAGACCTTGATGAGGATGTGAGACGAGGTATGGCCGCCCTCGGAGGAGTCCAGGTTACCAGGGAGCCCCGCCGACTCGCAGTTGGCGCAAATGTCCACGGCGTCGCAGATGGCGCAATGGAATCGGGCGCCGACGATGTCGAGCAGGCAGCTGAGAGTCGTGAGTGCGTGCACCCGTCACGGAGAGTAAGCTGCTTACTGCGCGCATCGGACCCCTGGGTGGGTTAGTGCTGGAGGAGGAGAGAGTCAGAATACGGTCAGCGAGTATGCGACGAAACGCACATTTCTCCCCCTCGGGACCTATATCAGGAGGTACCGTTTCGAAGAAGTCTGACTCGCTATTAGTCTGCATCGACATGTCGGGCACGACGAGGAAGGCGTGCGACGGGTGGAGGTCGTGCACTTGGCTGGGTTCGTCGTCAGCAAGAGAGGCAAGAAGTATTCAAGGGGTGACGCACCTATAGCACGCTCGACACAGGTTAAACTTCATACAAGAGGCACACTTGTACCGATGGTGCGTCGTGATCGCCGTACACGTCGAGCACTCGTGGATTTGAGTCTCGTCTTGTTCTAAGAGGACGATCACGTCAGGCGGAAGTTTAAAACAAGAGAAAGAGGAGCACACACCGACGTCCTCCCACCCCAGATGCCCCCAGACCTTCTCGTGGTACGCATGCCGCGTCTGCCCCTTCTTCGGCGCCAACCGCCGCCACTCCAGCGCGCGCTGCGCATCCTCAGGCGTCAGCGGGCTCGCGCTCGGCGACGCAGAGCCGGGGGACAGCCCCGCCTCGATAGCATGCGTCACGCCCGCGTGCTCGATGCACCCAGAACACAGCTCGTACCCCGTCTCCTCCGGCATGGAGCCCGGCCCCGGCGGCACCACGAGGGTCGCCTGCGAGCTGAAGACGCTGAGCGACGGCCCCGGCCCCTGCATCGGCAGGCGCGGGAGGGGCTTCGAGTGCCGCATCGAGCCCGTGAGGGACTCGCTGCTTCCCCCGGCGCCCAGGAAGGTCCGCGAGGACGAGGGGGATGAGTCGTGCTGGTGATGCGGCCGAGGAGGGTAGGAGTACTCGTGTTCGGGTGGGGCTTGGAAGTTGGGGTACTGGTGGCTATGGCTATGACCGTTGCTTTGGCTATGCCCGTTGCTTTGGTACGGGGTGTAGAAACCGGAGCCTCCGTGATCGTGGTGAGCGTGCAGGCTCTTCCCCTTTCCTTTGGTTGACTGGCTCGCCGGCTTCTTCTCCCCGCAGATCGTACAGACATATCGGATTGAGTCGAGCAACACACCACACTCGGAACAGTCCGTGAGTGTCTCGCTGGCTGGAGGACTGAGCGGCAGGAACTGGAGGACCTCCCGCGGAATTGAGGTGTTGCCAGTCGAGGCGTAAGAGTGACCTAGAGAAAGATCGTAGGAGTCTGAGGAGGAACCCGAGCTGGATGGCGGCGATCTGGGGTGGGTTTGAGGCGGAGGCTGAGATGCCGCCTGCTGGGCAGCGAGCCAGTTGAGGTGCCGAGAAGATGGTCGCGGTTTAGGTTGAGGGTGAAACTCTTCTTGTCCCTCGAGGTTTACGCTGTCGCCGTAGTAGCCCGACTCGCGGGTGTAAAAGCCCGACTCGCGGCTCTGAGACGTCGAGGAGGACGTGTAGGAGTAGTAATACTTACCCCGCGGATCCTGTTCCAATGCCAACGCTCCTGCGAGCTGATCTTCCTCTTCGGGTATCGAGGAGACACCCGAGGAAACCGACGGTTCAGGGAGTGCCCCGAGCATTGAGCGGATCGTCCGCGCGTTTTGGTCACGCAGCCAAGCGGCCCCGCGATCGCTCTCGTCAAGATTGTCGTATTGCACGCTTGAAGAATCATCGCGGATAGACTCTTGCAGCTTCAGACGCTCAAAAACGGCGCTGGGATCTGCGGGCGGACTGGGGGCAGGTTTAGCTGCTTCGTCGGCGAAGGGGTCGCTGCCATTGGATTGATTGCGCAGCGTGGTACTGAGACCGCTGGGACCCGCTTGCTCGCCCGAGGGCTGAGACATCAGGTCCCAAGATTGCGCCGAGGCTTGCGAACTCCCATCATGAACAGGTCGGTCTGCTCGGGATATCGCATCTCTGGAGCTGACGGTGATCGAGTCGTCGTCGAGGTCGACCGACGGTGCACCGAACGAGAAGGACTGCTGGCTTCCATTCCTATTCTTGTCGCGGTATTCCTCCATGCTCGCGAGCGACGAAGTGTCGGAGAGACTTGGTCCGTCATAATCGACAGTAATGTTGACCCGGAGAGTTATCGTGTGGCTTTTGCGACTGCCGAAGCTGCGACCAGAGAGGATGGATGCGGCAGACGATAATGGTGGGTCATCACTTCCGGCCTGGAAATATTGGATCGCTTCCGTCAAGTCAGAGTCCGTGGTCATGTCGGTCACTTCGCCATCGTCGTCTTTGTATGCTATCACAAAGGACGTCGCATAGAGTGAGAAGCACTGCTCGACCTTGCAATAGCGGAATTGTAAGACGGAACGGACGATTTGGAGAGTAAAGTGAGTACCTTGTGTCGGAGAAGATCATAGCTGCAGTTCCGCGCGGAATTGAAAGTTATCCTCTTCTTCCAGCGGTCGAAGGTGCATTTGACCAGTAAAGGGCGGTCGGGGCGTCCATCCATGGTGCAGCGCTGCGTAGAGGGAGTAAAGCCGAAACTAGTCACAAATGTATAAGCGATTCGGCTGTGCAACGTCACATTTACGCGCCCACCTGATCAGTCGCGTCGAGTTTCAGGTCGCGTATCGTGGTGAGGGAGCTAAACTGAGTCAATACGCGCCAATGGGCGCTGGAAGTGAGCTACATGAGAATATGTAGCGTTACTTATTCCAGGAGCACCACCGAGTTTCGTGATGGGGATTTTTGGTGCAGCGTTGTGGGGAAAATAATACGTAAAATTCCTCGATGCCCACAAGGTTGGAAACTGGAAAACGACACCGCGACCTCCAAAGTCGGATTTTTTGCATATTTTGCAACCTCGATGGTGGTTTGTTTGTCCTTCCGCGAGTTGCCGGATTTGCATGTTGATACCATCAGTCTCAACCTCGCCATGCTTTGCACACTTCGCACAGACCGGGATTCAAGTGCCATCTGAAGTACTATCCTCAAGCCACGGAAATCTCTCAAATCGCAAAGATTCAATATTCAACGTTCAACGTTGCACAGGATTCAACAGGAAACGCGATTTCAGTTGTAGACTCGGCTGGACGGCTCGATAGAGTGGCTAGCTAGACACAGCTCCTTTTCTGGCCCTGCAATCCGCTCCAATGTCTCGTCGGCGGGTGCGCACTGCGCCGAAAAGGTGACGTTTTTAACCGCCTAACCGTGGCCGCAGGAATTCTATCCCAAAGATACGGGATTTCAAAATGCATATAAACACCCAAGCCTCCCCCTCTCCATTCACTACTCCTCCTCCTCCTCCTGCTCTCACGACCTGCAATTTTCGATGGGACAAACACTGAGCTTCTTTTCCAAGTTTTTTGGCGATCAAATGTTC